CACAAACATATTTTAGGATTGGTTCTGGTTGTCAATGCTGGTTGTGAAATAACGGAGAATAATGTAAGAGAATAAAATGGATATTTCGGGATAAGGAAGGTATTTTTACCTCATGGTTCTTTTGGTTTTACGAATTTATTTTAATGAAATTAGAGTTTAGTATGAACATTGCTCAACATTATATATTTTTTGGTCATTTTTACGTGTCATACAAAGAAGCCAAAATAAGTCTTTATCTCAATTTCTGTCTTGTCTGTCAAGGCCCAGAAGGCATTTTACGTGACCTTCTCCTCAAAAACTAAAGCATCGATCGTGATTCAATTTAAATAGTCTTTTTGGATTTGGTGGCTTGACACGAGTAGCTTAAGCCATTAAAATATGGCCTCACTACTTTTAAATTAAAATACATTTCAATCAAATCCCCAATTTTTTGCATTTTTGTCAAGTTTAAGCTACTCCTAATGTTTACCAGTAAATTTATGAAATACTAATAATTTGTTTGGAGAATACGACATGTGAAATAACGAACAGCTGTGAAAGATGAAAAGCTGGATAAAGATTATTTTTTCTAGCTGTCACTGGAAATTTGTTATTACATTTTGTTTACACATACTGCAACCATTTCCGATAACGTTTTGTAATAACATCCAAAACCAAGTAGGATTAAAAACGTTGTGACTCACGTAAATAAACGGATCAAATAAATCGTAAACGCAATAATATGTAACTAGTGTACATGTTGCTCGAATTCGAGCAATTGCAAAGTATTAAAGGAGTTATTTCAAAACGAATAACAATGAATATTTACAATGAGTTTAAAAGAGTCAACTCAAATATTACCGTTGTATAACTAAAACCGAACGAAAAGCCGTTTAGGGGTAGTGTTCCATCTCTTGTTTACAGTTGCAGACGATCTATTCTGGTTTTCAACCTGACTTAAAAATTGAACTGATTAGTAATCTGCTCACATTTCACCTTTAAAACTGTTACTGTATAGTGTGAAAGTTGGTCAACCATTGGAAGCACTTTTTAGGAGTAAATCAAAGGCTTAGGGGTCAACCTTTTGAAGCCCTAATCGAAATATCCTTTTTAATTACCATTTTGCTCTGCGTAAGTTCTTAAGCTTTAAAATGACACCTCAATCGTAGCAATCGGCGAAGTAGGTCGGGTGAAAATGGACTGTTACAGCTTTTTGAATTAGGAAGATAGATAATGTTATACAAGACAATGATATATTGCATGCTTTATACTGGATATTACAAGACAATGATTAACCGAAGAACCGTTGATTTCCGGGGGTAGATGTCTGGGGGTAGATGTCCGGGGGTAGATGTCTGGGGGTATATGTCTGGGGGTATATGTCCGGGGGTAGATGTCCGGGGGTAGATATCCGGGGGTAAATGTCCGGGGGTGGATTTCTGGGGGTAGATGTCCGGGGGTAGATTTCCGTGCTATGGCAAATCACTTTATAATCAAACAATTACATGTTGATTATTTAATAATATATTGGGGGTAAATTTCCAGTCGCGGGCAGTTTCTCGACCGTGTACAGGCCCCGCCCCTCGTGACGTAAAAATGACGTAGGCGTTTTTTCATGGGGGTAAATATCCGGGGGTAGAAATCCGCTACCCCATTAGGGGTCGTGAAAATCCCCCTTCAAAATCCCTGAACATAATATTCTTGTCGTAAATATCATAGTAAAATTACATTGCAGGACTTAATATAATTTAGTCTATTACATCCAATGCTTCCTTCTTTGTTATCAATATAAGTTGTACTTTGTATATATGAACCTAATTTGTGTGATCATTATGATTGTAAGATATATTTTATTCATAATCTATTATTTTGTGACGTATTTGAATATTTGTCATTTTTCAGAGTGAGAAACTATAACTTAACTAATAACTCATTTACTTGACCATTTGTTACATGAGACATTTTGTTTTGGATACATTTGTAAACCAATATATTCCTATTACTATTTGAACTCTCGAAAGTACAATTGTTCCTCTGTAGAAGCTAAACAAATCAATAAAACTTGCCAGAAGATATTTAAGATGTTAGCCAAGGACTATAACTCCGCATCTACAGACAGGCAATTAAAGATCATGCATTTCTTTAACTTTTCGTCGTGTATAGTAATACCCCCGCCACAGCAAACCTGCCGTCTAAGCGAATTTCCATTTGGCTAAATTGATTTTCAATCGATCTATTTAAATAACATTGGGTTTAACGAGTAGGTACCTAGGTTTGCTGCTACAAGGAAACTAATAAAGTGTGTATTTTAAGTAAAATAATTATTGCTTAGTAGAAAATGAATACATTTGCCAAGTTTGATCAAAAGATATCCATAAACAAGCAAACTACAACATTTTACAATATTCTCCATAAAAATAACATGGGAATTTTAAATTTACAATTTTTTTAGTTTTCTCCGTAACCAATAACCGTACAAAAACACTTTCATATAATGAATTGTTTGTTTTTTAAGCTCTGAAGGTTTAGAGAAAAATCGGGAAATTTTGTGTTTTGAGGGTCAAAAGTGAGAAAAACCAATTTTTCCCCATAAAACCCCCCATAAAACCCTGTCCCCATGGTCCGATCATGCTGGATCGCGAACTCATTCAAGTTTATCCCGCCTTACACCTTCAAACCAAATTTCATCAAAATCGGATAAAAATTACTCAAGTTATCGTGTTCACGGACATATATATATATATAAATATATATATAAATATATATATATATATATATATAAATCTATATATATATATATATATACATATTTGAACGAATGGTGTTTTTGGCCTCTGGGGACATCAAAATGAAAAAGTAAATCGGTCCCGGGCCTAAGTCTTACCATGAGACCTACGGTAATAGCTACTTCCCTATAGGGAAATTCGCTAAAAGGGTCAGTGATTAATAATACAAATTGCAAGAATATAAACGTTTCGTGATAAGAAAGAAAATATAAATTTAGTTTTAAACAATATATGTTTAGGACCTTCTTTTTAAATTAATCATGTAACATCTATCAGTATTACACAAAATTAAAGAATTGTTTATGTTAAATGTTATGTTTTGTTTTACATTTCAAATATTATAGCTTGTGTTGCTAATAGAATTGTAAGCAATCCTATTTATTCATTACCAAACTGTAAAAGTGTTGTTTAATCAGTATCAATTTTTATTACCTTAAACTCAGGCCAAGTACTCACCCTTGCTAACGCAATAGGTTGTTCAGGTAATATGGAAATTTCCGAAAATGATTTAACTACGAGTATCAACAATAGAATCCTTTAAAGGAAAATTAAATTGTTTTATGTGAATAAAAAGTAGTTCAGATCCAAACCGGACTGATTTGAGATCCAATTCGTTTGAATCCATCAGCTGTGTGTTCCTGTTTTGGGATTGGTCAGTTAAACAATCGAAGTAACTGTGTTGTTATTCATATGTGTTTGAAAACATATGGTGTTAGAATATTATTTGTTTAGTTTTTGTTGGTAAACATTCTGAATCGGGTTTATTGTAAAAAGCTACCTAATAAAGTATTTGTCTTATTAAAACTATATTTTAATTTAACTTGCGATAACACTACATGGTGGCAGCGGGCTTTTTATTGTTTTAGCAATATACATTACATGAAGATGAAAAGTTTTAGTGTTCCTACCCCAGAACATTTTGATTTTAAAGGAGAAAACTGGTCTAAATGGAAAACCCGTTTCTTGCGCTTTCATGCGGTATCTGGGCTCACCAATGAAGACGAACCATATCAGGTAAACACCTTACTATATATGATGGGCGAAAAGGCCGAAAGCATATTTGAATAATTTAATTTGACATCTGAAGAATGTAAAAGTTTGAAAACTGTTTTAAAAAAATTTGATACATATTTCGGTCCTTCTAAAAATGTAATCTTTGAGAGGTACATGTTTCATACTAGGGTTCAACATGAGGAAGAGCGTGTTGAGAGTTTGATTCATGATCTTCATGAGATGGCTTCTAGATGCGATTTTCCTGCTTCTTATAAAGATGAGGCTATACGAGATCAACTTGTTGTAGCGATTAGAGACAAAAGTTTATCTGAAAAACTACAAATGAATGCAGATCTAACCCTTAATTCTGCTGTCTCAAATGTTAAGCAAGCCGAATCGGTTAAAATGCAACAATCATTGATGAGGTCCGGGTCTTCTGAACATGCACTAACTGCAGATAAAGTCACTTCAAGGACTTGGGGCACTAAATTTGCTCAGAAACCTCCAGTTGATTCCAAAGCGTCCAGTACCAAGTACTATAATCAATGCCAGTGGTGTGGTAACGCTCAACATGAACGACCAAAATGTCCTGCCCGGAATATTTTCTGTCGAAACTGTAACAGGAAGGGCCATTTTGCTAAATGTTGCCGGTTCAAAAATGTCAAGGAAATAAATTCAAACCCTCTTCAAGATGAAGTTATTAAGAGTGACAAATTTGTGGGGTCTGTTAATCCTCAAAAGAATCCTAAAGCAAAATGGTCTGCTGAAGTTAAACTAAATGGAGTATGTATTCAATCTAAGATAGACACTGGAGCTGACGTTTGTGTCTTGCCCCAATCACTCTATAAGTTGAAATTATTTATGTACCCACTAAATTCAAGTAACAAAGCTTTAATTGGGCCTTACGGATCTGTCCTTAATATCTTAGGCGTATTCGAGGGTACAATCCAGTACAAGAATCAATATTGTAAGTCTCAGTTTTATGTAATATCTGGTGCTGATAGAACCCTTTTGAGCAATGAAGTTAGTGAAAAATTGGGTCTAGTTAAAAGGATGTTTCGAGTCAACTCAACTGGCTCATTTGATCCTTTTACATCATACCCTAAACTTTTCAGCGGTCTTGGTGATACACAAGCTCATTATAATATAAAATTAAAGCCAAACGCTGAACCGTACTCTCTCAAAGTTCCAAGGCGTGTTCCCCTACCCTATAAAGATGCTGTAAAAAAAGAACTAGATGCAATGTTGGATAAAGGTGTTATCGTGAGAGTAGACACTCCGACTGACTGGTGTTCACCTCTTGTCATTGTCCCTAAAAAGGACAATTCAATAAGACTTTGCGTAGATTTTACTAAACTTAATGAGAGTGTTAAACGAGAACTATATCCTGTGCCCTCTGTAGACTACAGTCTGGGACAATTAGATGGTGCTAAGGTGTTCTCGAAACTAGATGCTAACTCGGGTTATTGGCAAATACCCATAACAGAAGAAGCTTCATATTTGACTACTTTCATCACACCTTTCGGAAGGTTCAGATTTTTACGACTTCCTTTCGGGATTTCCACTGGTTCAGAAGTATTCCAGCGTCAAATGACTGAATCACTTGAAGGCCTTCAAGGTGTTGTTTGCCATTTCGATGACATAACTATACAGGGTGTTTTTTTTAAAACTTGCATCTTTATTTATGTAAAAACCGCAATAGATAGAAATATGCAGTTTGCGGGAATCATCTATTGACGTAGGGGGACCAATTGTTTTGAATTCAACGTTACATTCACATTCCCCCCCTTTCCCCCCCTGCCCCCAACTTAATTTTTTTAAATAGCAAGGTACCCCTTGTGACATATCAAATAAAAGAGCATGAAAAAAGAAAATGTTTGATGAAAAAAAATTGAAAATCGGTTCATAAATTTGTGAGATATTCCCCCCCTCACCCCCCCGGAACTTAATTTTTTTTAATAGCAAAGTACGCCTTGTGATATATCAAATGAAAGAGCATGAAAAAAGAAAATTTTTGGTGAAAAAAAATTAAAATCGGCTCATGAATTTGTGAGATAATCACCCCCCTTTTCCCCTACCCATAACTTGTTTTTTAATAGCAAGGTACCCGCCCTTGTGACATATCAAATGAAAAATAAATTTCACCAAACATTTTCTTTTTTCATGCTCTTTCTTTTGATATGTCACAAGGGGTACTTTGCTATTAAAAAAAATAAGTTCCGGGGGGGTGAGGGGGGGAATATCTCACAAATTTATGAACCGATTTTCAATTTTTTTTCATCAAACATTTTCTTTTTTCATGCTCTTTTATTTGATATGTCACAAGGGGTACCTTGCTATTTAAAAAAATTAAGTTGGGGGCAGGGGGGTAAAGGGGGGGAATGTGAATGTAACGTTGAATTCAAAACAATTGGTCCCCCTACGTCAATAGATGATTCCCGCAAACTGCATATTTCTATCTATTGCGGTTTTTACATAAATAAAGATGCAAGTTTTTAAAAAAACACCCTGTATACGGGAAAGATATGGAAGAACATGACAAAAATTTACATCGTGTTTTGTGTAGGCTCCAGGAAAAGGGCTGGACACTTAATAGATCAAAATGTGTGTTCCGGCATGACAGTATCAATTTACTAGGCCACCTTGTAACTAAAAATGGTATTAAGCCAGATCCCTCTCGTGTTGACGCCATCCAAAAACTCAAGACGCCAACTAACATTAAAGAACTAAGGAGAATTCTAGGTGTTGTCAATTACGTAGCCAAGTTTATTCGTAATTTGTCGACCATAGTTCATCCACTACATGCTTTACTGCAAAGAAATACAGAATTTGTTTGGGGGCCTGATCAAGACCAAGCTTTGGAAAAGATTAAACTGTCATTGATGTCCGAACCGTGTCTCGCTTTATACAGCATTTCTAAAGAAACCTTCCTCTCAGCGGATTCCTCGTCATATGGTATTGGAGTTGCACTACTTCAGCTTCAAGAAGATGGAACTAAACGTCCGGTGGCCTATGCTTCGAGAAGTTTGTCATCAGCCGAACGTAATTGGGCTCAAATAGAAAAAGAAGCTCTAGCGATTGCTTGGGGGTGTGAACGGTTTGAACACCTCATTTTAGGGTTGCATTTGCATATTGAGACAGACCATAAGCCCTTGCTCTCCATATTCAAGATAAAAGACTTGGACAATATTACTCCCAGGCTTCAGAGAATACGACTCCGACTGATGAGATATACGTATGACATTACCTACACGCCCGGTAAACAGTTGATTTTGGCTGATGCACTGTCTCGAGACACAGAGAACTCTGAAGAGGAATGGGAACTTACAGAGGAAATCCTTGCTTATATACAAAACATTGACACTACTCTACCATCAGTTTCGGATGAAAGGTTGCGAGAAATAAATCAAGAAACTATGAAAGATGAAACTCTAAAACATGTGTCACAGTATAGTGTGAGAGGTTGGCCAGGAAAATCTAAGATTCCAGAGGATGTATTGCCCTACTGGTATCATAGAGAAGATATAAGTGAGCAAAATGGTATACTTCTCTTTGGAAGTCGTATTATAATACCAAATTCTCTAAGAGCTAATGTACTAAGAAGTATTCATGAAGGACATCAAGGCATAACAAAATGTAGATCTTTTGCAAAATTGACTGTGTGGTGGCCTCGTCTTTCTCAACAAATCAAAGAACTAGTAGAAAATTGCAAGACATGTGCAGAAAATCGCGCTACGAGAGCAGAGCCGCTGATACCAACCCCTTATCCGGATAGACCTTGGCAAATAGTGGGTGCCGATTTGCTGAAGTGCAAAGGTCACTGGTATCTCTTAATCTCAGACTATTATTCCAGGTTTATGGAGATTGCTAGACTAAAGGACTTAAAAATGGGCACTATTGTGACATATACACATACTTGGGAATAACGAATAGAAATTCTATCGAATAGCACTATTCATTAGTTTTTTTGGCTAACTTCTATTTTATTCAATTGTTTTTAAATTAACTAACTAATAACTTCTATCAGTTACTTTTTACGGGACTAACTAATAACTTCTAACTAGTTAGAATTTTCAACTAACTTTCCCAATTATGCGGAAGCATCTCAAATACTGGTTATTTATTTCACGTGATCAGTGAGGGTTGCGTGCGGCCGTGAGAGGTCAATGCCCTTGTAGACAAACAACGCGGGGGGTGGGGAAAGAGAAAGTCAAAGTCCAGTTGCTTTGGAATGCAGTGGGCCTGTGGAAGGGTAGTGACGGCCATTATCAACACCCCAAGCACTGATGGGTGGGAAGGGGAAATGTTTGTTTGGTGATTGATATATCATCTCAAGTGTCAAAACATTGTCTTTAGTTGATGTTCATTATCTGACAAGTTTTATGTCGTTTGTTTATGTTGTAGTAATGTAAAATGTGACAATGTTTGATTAAAACACAAGTACCAGGGGGACCGATCTTGCTCAAGGTGTTTGATTTGTTCAAGAGGTAAAAAAATAGATCTTATAAGCCTACAAAAATTTTCAGTCTTACTACGATCAATTAAGTAGTAAAGTCAATTCGTTTTTGTTAGACATCCACTTGTCCTCAATTTAGTCTACAAAACTTTTTAATTTGGACAATCAATCTATAAAATGTCCACAATAAGCTTCAATCAATATAAAACTCATGATACATAACATCTGTTATCTGACGACCGTTACTGCATTAAGTCACTGGGATCGTGGAACGTTGCAACTATAATTACGGGATGGTGTAATAACGCATCAATTCGTGCGGTGCATCGTCGAAAAATACAAATCTCCTTGGCCTTTCCTTTACATTTTTAGTTCAATGTCAGTGTATATTGTTTTGCAGTAAAACACTTAATGTTTTTGAACAGTCGTAATTATCCCTTTGGTTAGTAAGACATCATACAATGCAAATGTATTATACAAGCAATTTTCAATAGCATTGAAATTGGAGGAAATCGTAGGAGCCATTTTTAAATCATATCTTGCGCAATATTATAGTAAATATATATTAGTAACCAAGATGTGACATTAAAAAATACTTTAAAACAACTGCCCAACGAACAACTAATTTCTACTAAAACTAACTTTATTTTATATCAGTTAGTTTTTCAACTAACTAATAACTTATATCAGTTACTTTTTAAATTAACTAACTTTTAACTTCTATCAGTTACTTTTTACGGGACTAACTTATAACTTCTAACTAGTTAGAATTTTTGACTAACTTTCCCAACTATGCATATACAAAGTCCATCTTCGCACGTCATGGTGTACCTGAGACAGTGAGAGCAGACTGTGGTTCTCAATTTGACTGCTGTCAATTCAAACAACTTGGTCGTGATTATGGATTTAAATTGATTACATCAAGCCCAAAATTTCCACAAAGCAACGGCTTTATAGAAGCGCAAGTAAAAAAACTTTAAGTACCACTTAGAAAAAAGTGATGATCCCTACAAAATGCTACTTATGTTAAGAGCAACCCCTCTGGAAAATGGGAAAAGTCCAGCGGAATTACTTTTCGGGAGAAGGATCCGCACTTATGTTCCGATAATGTCTGATCAACTAATACCCTATCTGGTAGACACTGAAAAGTTAAGGGAAAAGGAAGAAGCAAGAATTGATCGTCAAAAGATTTATTTTGACAAAAGACATAGAGCCACAGAATTGCCTACTCTACCTGATGGAGCTCAAGTCCATATAAAGGACAGGAATCAAGAAGGAACTATATTAAACAAACATCCTGCACCTCGATCCTATATAATTCAAACGCAAGATGGTTGTTTGCGGAGGAACAGAAGATCACTGCAAAGATTTAGCACTACTATGCCTTCTGATCAACCAGCACTGCAGACCAGTCCCTCAGAAAACCTGAGAAGATCAGAACCATCGCAGACAAATCCTTTAGCGAATCTAAGAAGATCAACAAGACAATTCAAACCTACCCGGAGGTTCGATCTTTAAAGGGGAGATGTGTTGTTATTCATATGTGTTTGAAAACATATGGTGTTAGAATATTATTTGTTTAGTTTTTGTTGGTAAACATTCTGAATCGGGTTTATTGTAAAAAGCTACCTAATAAAGTATTTGTCTTATTGAGCGGAGCGAGCGAAGTGAGCGAAGCTCTTATACGTCGACTTTTATGCATTTCGTAATACGCAAACTCCTCCTAGACGACTGAATCAATCATTTTCAAATTTTGGATGGTGATAAAGACCATATCGGTGAGTGCCAACATCTATATGGCGTTAAAATTAACCCTCAGGAATCCGCCCCACTGGGTCACAAAGTTTCAATGTAATCCTTATGGAAGCAGTATTTGACACATAAACAAAGACATATGATCAGCTGTTGAATTTTAAATGCAGTAGATAAAGAAATAGTTGATAGCATTATTCCACAGATATTAGAACAGAAACGGTATGGATCATAAATATAATCAAATGACGACACTAGCTTGAGGTCCGTGACGTAGGAAGTGCTAAAAAGGAAGGACTAAAGGTGAGCAGTCTGGAATGTGGAAACTATTTATGACGATGATTTAGGTATATGCATTCATAAAATTCCATTGGAAGGGAGGAAAACGGGTCCGCGACGTAGGAAGTGGTGAAGGAAGTACTAAAGGTGAGCGGTCTGGAGTGTGGAAACTGTTTATGGCGATTAGATTTAGGTATCTGCATTCCAAAAGTTATAAGGGAAGGGAGGAAAACAGGTCCGCGACGTAGGAAGTGATGAAGGATGTAGTCAAGGCAAGCTGTCCGGAGTGTGGGAACTGCTTATGACAATTATATTAAGGTATTTGCAATCCTGTGATACTATGGGAAGGGAGGGAAACAGGTCCGCGACGTAGGAAGTGGTGAAAGAAGTAGTAAAGGCGAGCAGTCCGGAGTGTGGGAACTGTTTATGACGATTAGATTAAGGTATCTGCAATCATAAAATGCTATGGGAAGGGAGGAAAACGGGTCCGCGACGTAGGAAGTGATGAAGGAAGTAGTAAAGGCGAGCTGTCCGGAATGTGGGAACTGTTTATGACGATTAGATTAAGATATCTGCAATCATAAAATGCTTTGGGATTTTAGGAAAACAGGTCCACGATAAAAAATGGTGAAGAAAGTAGTCAAGGCAAGCTGTCCGGAGTGTGGGAACTGTTTATGACGATTAGATCAAGGTATCTGCAATCCTAAAATGCTATGGGAAGGGAGGAAAACGGGTCCACGACGTAGGAAGTGGTGAAGGAAGTAGTAAAGGCGTGCAGTCCGGAGTGTGGGAACTGTTTATGACGATTATATTAAGGTATCTGCAATCCTAAAATGCTATGGGAAGGGAGGAAAACGGGTCCGCGACGTAGGAAGTGATGAAGGAAGTAGTAAATGCGAGCTGTCTGGAGTGTGGGAACTGTTTATGACGATTTGATTAAGATATCTGCAATCATAAAATGTTGTGGGAAGTTAGGAAAAAAGGTCCACGAAGTAGGAAGTGGTGAAGGAAGTAGTAAAGGCGTGCAGTCCGGAGTGTGGGAACGGTTTATGACGATTATATTAAGGTATCTGCAATCCTAAAATGCAAAGGGAAGGGAGGTAAGCAGGTCCGTGACGTAGGAAGTGGTGAAGGAAGTAGTAAATGCGAGCAGTCTGGAGTGTGGGAACAGTTTATGACAATTAGATTAAGGAATATGCAATCCTAAAATGCTATGGGAAGGGAGAGAAAAGGTCCGACACGTATGAAGTGGTGAAGGCAGTAGTCAAGGTGAGCTGTCCGGAGTGTGGGATCTGTTTATAACGATTAGATTAAAGTATCTACAATCTTAAAATTCTATGGGAAGAGAGGGAAACAGGAAAAGTGTGGAGTGTGGGAACTGGAAACCGTTTGTAGTAGTTAGATTAATGTATCTGCAATGCTGAAATTCTATGAGAAGGGATGGAAGCATCCTCAAAATGGTGAAAGAAGTAGTAAAGGCTAGCAGTGCTGAGTGTGGGGAAGGTTTGTGGCAATTAGATTAACGTATCTACAATACTAAATTGCTATGGGAAGTGATGAAAACAGGTCCACGATGTAGGAAATGGCTTAGAAAGTAGTAAAGTATGAGCATTGTGTGAAAACCATCTGTGGCAGTTATATTGATGTATCTTTCATCCGAAAATGCTATGAGAAGGGAAGGAAACAAGTCTATGACGTAGGAAATGGTGAAGGAAGTACCGGTAGTAAGGCTTGCAGTGCAGAGTGTGGGAACTGTCTTTGGCAATTAGGCCTACATTAATGTATCTGCAATCCTAAAATGCTATGGGAAGAGAGAGAAATAGGTCTACGACGTAGGGGGTGGTGAAGGAAGTAGTAAAGGTGAGCGTGTTGAGTTTGGGAATGGATTAATGTATCTGCGATGCTAAAACGCTATGGGAAGAGACTGTAGACTGTAGGTTAAAATAATTACGAAGCACGAATCTATACATATTTCGATACATGCAATCGTTTACAATAGAAATTTACAACTGAGTTGACAACATCTGATTTTTACTCCATAGAGTATAAAAACTATTGTACTTCCTAAAGAGTAAAAATGCTACTTTAGACCCGCAACGCATGCATTAAAAACGACTGGTATTACTGCAGTATGACCATAGACAAAAAGAATTAAATAATTTTTAAAATAATTAATAATTAAAAAAAAAATTTAATTCTTTTTGTCTATGGTATGACCAAAACAATATAATATAAACCCTTGATGACTCCGCTCAATTTTGTGGATGCCTCTGCGAACGCCACCTAGTTAAAACTATATTTTAATTTAACTTGCGATAACACTACAGTAACATCAA